GAAAGGGTACCGAGTTACAGTTAGCAGAAAGGGGCCGGTCTGTACTTACACCGTGCAGGGTGCCTCCGGGATGCCTCAGATGCGAGGGTAGCGATGTGGGCGAAAGGGTACCGAGTTGCAGTTAGCAGAAAGGGGCCGGTCTGTACTTACACAGTGCAGCGGTGCCTCCGGGATGTCTCAGATGCACTCAGAGCATTTTGTTTTTCCCATTTGTTTTGTAAAAGGTTTTTGCCACACAGCATGTGTGCTCACTGGAGAGACAGGGACAGAAAGGGAAAGGGGGAAATCACCCCCAAGGGGGGATGGCCACCTGCAATCCCTTTTCCTCTATTCTCCTCCTGGGATTTTGGGCATGCACGCACACAAACCTGCAATGAGTTTCAAGACGCCGGGTGCCGCTGGGTCTGGGACTCTAACCGTGGATGGAGAAGTGGGAATCCAATGTCTTAATCACTACGCCACCTGCTGGCCCCCAGAATAGCTCCATTATTACTTGCTTTTACTTCCTTTATTTATTTATTTTTTTTGACAGGTTTTTGCTATAGGGCATGTGCACTTGCCAGAAAGAGAGAGAGAGAGAGAAAGAGAGAAATCACCCCCCAGGGGGGATGGCCACACCACAATCCCTTCTTCTCCATTCTCCTCTCGGGATCTTGGGCACGCACGCACATGCACCCAGCGTGAGTTTAAGCCACCGGGTCCGGGACTTGAACCGTGGTCGACTACATGGGAGTCCAGCGACATAGCCATTACGCTAACTGCTGGTCCCTCCCAACAGATTTTTTTAGAGCGTGCCAAACAAAACCCTGATCAGAGATCAACCAAGGCTAATTCCTTCTATAGGTCCTGCGCGGGCACTGGCTCTTGAGCCCCTAGGAGTGGCCCTGACTTGTTGGCGTGTTCCCTGAGCTCGGGGTTCATCCCGTGTGAAGTGGATCCGTGTGGGGCTCTCCCGTCCACACCCTGTGTTGGGCACAGCAGTGGGACGTGTTCTTTCCCATGACGGTTGTACTCTAGGCACAAGTCCAGAGGGCTGCAGGGCAGTAAGCTGGCCCAGGTGGTACCGTGACTGGACCCCACCTGGGAAGGTCCCGGGGTCACGTCTGACCCTGCAGCTGCTGTCGGCACCCCCTGCTTGAGTGTGTGCCTGTGTTGAGGCCGGCTAGACTGGGCTGGTCATGACATGATGGCCTTGTTGGGGTGCGTGTCTGTCTCTCTCTAATGGAAGAAATAAGTAAGCTAGAGAAAGGGGTGGGAAGGTGCTGGATCCCACACGGCCAGGTGCATCGTTCAAGTCCTGGACCCGGCAGCTTGAAAATCATGCTGGGTGTGTGTGCGTGCGTGCCCAAGATCCCAGGAAGAGAATGGAGGACAA